AAGTCCAGTGGAACATAGCCAAAGTACAGGGACCATTTTAAAAACACCTACGCCGAAACCCATGACCAGCTGAGGGTTATCATTTTCAAAGCTATCATGTTAAGAAACTGGATAGTTTTTCCATTGATGCTGTTATTCAAAATATCTTCTGAAGCGCTTTTTGGAATTTCTTTGGAGAAAAATTTTCAAATCATTCTTATGAATCAGTGATTGCACTTCATTTAAGACCATAAACGGAGCACTCATTTTAGCTACCTTTTATTTTATGCCCAAAATGGTATCAAAAGTTTTCCTTCCCCCCTTAAAATAAAATTTATCTTTAGAGGTTAAAAGATAGACTACCATTGGGAATGTTCAAAACAGTGTACTCCTGGCTTTGAAAGGAATTACAGAAGAAGAGTAGAACAATATTATGAAAAATGGTAGCATGGCTAGAATAAATATTTAATCTCTTTTAAGTGGTTAAGGACCTTGTAAAAAAAGTGTTCTATTTTGTGGTCTCTGTGTGTATTATTTATATAGCACACACATGCACAAACTTACACATGTGTTTGCATATACACCAACCCAGAAAACCCAAAGCAACACCCTTTGTGTTTCCAGGCTGGTAAATCTTTATGGAAGTAGATTGCCCGGTCTTCTTTCTGCAGTGGCTGGTGGGTTTGAATTGCCAGCTTTCTGGTTAGCAGTCAAATTTAGGCACTGGGTCACCAGAGCTCCTTTGCACATAGACGTATATTTTAGTCACTCTTTATAGTTAAATGCCATAGATTCTGGTCTGTATTTGTGTGGTTTAACCATATTAATTTTGTATTATTTCTAGGGTCTCATTTCTCTCGTTGGTTGGAGTAAGTGTGCTTTCTTCTGAGTATTAGCAAGTCTACAAATTTAGTCCTGTAGCTAATGCATACATAGGTAGGGGGTTACAGAATGGTAATCCTGGAACGTAAAAATGAGGGGACATTTTGAGAATGGTATTTAAAATAAGTTTGAAGTGGGAAGCTAAAAACTTTCATCCAAGTCAGAGATCAGAGTATAGCCTGACATGAATTCTGCTTGTGCTAGGTTTATGAATAGGTGCTTGAGATGAGAAGATATGCCATCAAAAGGGAGGTGGAAAAAAGGAGAATGTAGCATTGGAGAAGCAAAATAGTCACACATTTTTAAAAACTTCGCAGGTAGAAAAGCACACTGTCCTGTTGTGAGCATGGCCCTACTGTGAAGATAGATCCATTAGTCATTTTGGCCTATATAACACTTCCTTTGATTTGATTCCATGCTCCCTAAGTAATCTTCTGTTTTTCATTCAGTCTCCCTACATACTTTCCCCCAGGAAAAGACTGTGCTTGTCAGGTGGTTTTGAACATTTGCTCTCATTGTATGTTACTCATTTAGCATTTTGTTTATGTATTAGTCACATCTTTGAGTTGACTTCTCTGAGTCCTGTCTAAGATAAGAGCAGGATTGTGTTTGTGGGCCTGGAAGAATAAGGATCATATATAAATTTGCTAGAGGAATACCACCTGATGATGCCTGTTGGTGGTCTTTCAACTGGCCTTCCCTTAGCATGCCTCTATCGAACCGTTAACTCTTCTACTTTCAACAAGCATCTTTTTATTTGAGTGTTCATTCTCAGTTCTTTCACTGTACTCTCACGACCACCACCACAAGTTGTCAATGACTCAATTCTGACTCATGGTGACCCATGTGTGTCAGAATAGAACTGTTTTCCACAGTATTTTCAATGGCTGTTTTTTCGGAAGTAGATCACCAAGCTTCTGGGTGGACTTGAGCCTTCAACCTTGCAGTTAGCTGCCAGCATATTAAGCATTTACACAACACTGCGACTCTTAGTCAAAATAGATTGGGTCCAGGGTTACTCAGATGATTCTTGAGAATCTCTATGAAGGGAGGGTGGTCATGTCACTTTAGGACCTGACTGGTTATAAGCTGTTGTTCTTTCATCAGAGAAATGGATGATTTGATTAAGGTTCATTGCATTAAATTTTTCTTTCTTTGATCTTATTTTATATAACTAGAGATACCTTTATGCTGTCAGGAATTCCCCCTCTATGGTAAATGACAATTATTTGGGTAGCATCTGCCATCTAATTGGAAAGTTTTTTCTTTAAGACTTCCTCACTCTAGGCTGTTATAATCCTCAACATTTATTATTCATTAATGAAAACTAATCAAACATTTATGTGCCTTGTTCTAGGAAGAGTTGTAAACACTGGGAATGTAAAGGTGATTGATTAACATGTAGTCTGTACACTTAAAAGATACTTCACTAAGCTAGGATTGATGCACATATAAATAAGTATGATATTAAAAAAAACCCACCAAACTCAATGCCATCGAGTCAGATCCGACTCACAGCGACCCCTCCTTGAGTTTCCAAGAAGGTATCACTATGGAAGTAGATGGCCCAACCTTCTTTCCGAGGTGTGGCTGGTGGGTTTGAACCACCAGCCTTCTGGTTAGCAGTCAAATACCTTAGGCACTGTGCCACCAGAGCTTGAGATACGGAATATCAGAAGAAAGTGATTAATTCCTTTTGGAAAGTTGGACCTAAACGAAATTCTTTAAATGGAGAACTGCAGAGGATAATTACAGCATAGGGACAAACCATGAATAGATGTGGAGAAATGTTTGCTATGAATATATATGCCAGTTTATGTAGGGGAGACTGGTCTGAGTTCTGCTTTAGATACCTGATGGTAGCCATGAGAGATCAGGCTAAAGCCTAGTTTGTTTTACTTGGCTTTGTTTATAAGGCTGAGACTTTGTACCTTGTTGTGGTGTAGTGAGTTGCATGGTATGGGTTTTCTAGCCATAGTTTTTGTAAATGCCACCAGATTACTGGATTGGACCATATGAATATGTGTCACCTTGGCTGGGCATCTGGGTAGTTATTTCCTATAATGAGACTGGCAATTAACTCTGTGGTGGAATATGCCCTGCTTAACTGAGTAGCTGCTTTTAAACTCCTGATTGTTAAAGTTACCCACCTGGGTTATTTCTGTTGGAGCAGCAAGAAGTAATTTTCTGGGAAAGTATGTTCTCTCTCAGGTGTGTAGAACTCTGATGTTGGGATTGGTTAGTTTTGCCACTCTGCCAGGGTTAAAACAAGCCCTCCTAGAGGCAGAGGGATATCTCACTGTTGGCTGAGAGAGATGCCTGGCTGAGAGATGGCAGCAGTGGAATCAAGAAGCATGGGACAGAGTAGCAGCCTTAGCTGGCCTATAGAGGCAGAGGCCAGGCCAAGAGGCCAAGGGCCAGAGAGGTGTGTCTAAGGGCACAGCAGAGGGGAGACTGTCCTGATCAAGAAACTGTATCCTGAGCACATTCCTGAACTTGAATTGTAGACTGTTGCTTCCCTAATATACCCCATAATCTGAGTTCTGTGTGGTCACTGCAGCAAATTATCAAACCCAGCAAAGAGTTAGTGGGTGCCATGAGAGAGAGGGTTGGTGTTAAGGTTGGTAAGAGGGCTGGAGGGTGGCAGCATGCTGATGGTGATTCTGTCTTCCTCTTATGTGGTTAGAGGAGGTCAAAAGATGCCGCTTCCATGCCCCATTAGCACTTGTCTTCCTGTCAAAAAGGAAAGCCATAATTTAAGCAAGAGAGTGGCATTATCAGATCTTTAGTTCAGAAAAATAACTGGGGGAACATTGGACAGATGGATTGGAGATAGTTCACTTAGGGAAGGCTTTGCAGTAAGACTTGAGGGTTTCAACTAGGACAGATAAAATAATTTTGAGGTAGAATCAACAGAACTAGGTTAAGGGAAAAAATGAAGAAACTCCAAGGGCTTCTGAGTTAATAGTACCATTAAGCAACTTAGGAAAGAAAGAAGTAGAAATAAGTTAGAATGTCAGATTTTGGATATGTTGAGTGATACTCTGTCTATTCACTAGGTAAGTTGGAGTTTAGGAGAAAATTGGGAACATAGGTTGGAAGCGCTCTCTCGATGCTAGACACTACTTGTGTGCTATCTTAATTATTACATAGCCCTGAAAGATAGGGAGTGTTGTCCCTGTTTTATGATGAGGAAACTTAGGCTCAGAGAAATAAGTCATTTGCCCAAGGTCACGTTATCCCCTGTATTTTTCCATAGTGTTTCTGTTATCTATTGCTGTGTAATAAACCTAAATTCTGTGACTTAAAGCAATAATTGACTACTCTCTCTTATGAGTCTAAGCTTAGCTAGGAAGTTCTAGCTTAGGGACTTTTCATTTGGTTGCAGTCAAATGGCACATGGGACTAGAGTCATCTGAAGGCTCCACCAGGCTGCATAACCAAGATGGCTTTTTTATTCTTGTGTCTGGTGTCTCAGCAGATCCTAAGGGAGCCCTTGCTAGAATGTGAAGAGGATGAATGTTTCAAGAAAGAGGAGTCAGTGGAAAACAAAACAAAACAAAAGAACATCAAGATACACTGGAAGAAAAGTAGGAGAAAATGATGCCACAGAAGCAAGGGAGGGGAGATGTCACCACTGCTATAGTCATAGGTTTTTAGGTTTGTTTGTCACATCCAGAGAGTGTTGTTGGAAGGGCCCTAGACTAAATACTCTACCTTCTGCCACAATATAAAAGGTTGTCCTTTGTCTTTCCCGTTCACCCTATCCCAGATATACATGCCAGTTGATGCCTAAAATTCCACAGTTAAAACTTGAGCAGTTTAATCCAGTGTAAACCATTTACACTTAAATCAATGCAAATTGCTATGATTACATTTGGCATACTTTCCTGAGAATAGGCTTCTTTAAGAGCAGACAGCCTCTGGTTAACTAGAGAAGGGGTTGGGAGGATGAGAGATGTAGGGGAAGGTGAGACTACTGGCACACTTCTGCTGGCCTTGCTAAAATCTGCTTTTGAGTTCTAAAAATGTATTACGTGCCAGACACTGAATTCTATCATAAATAGAAGGAATGAGTGAAATAAGGAATCTTTCACTTTTGTTTGTAATTAATAAATCACTGTTTTTCCTTATTTCAGAGCACAAAGTTATAATTGTTGGGCTGGATAATGCAGGGAAAACTACCATCCTTTACCAATTGTGAGTATTAACTTTTAAAAAATTATTTTGTAGTTCCTATTTACTTTTTCTGCTTGGAAGATCTTTGATTAAGGAAGGCAATAAAATATTATATGGAACCTGAAGCTACCCTGTAAGAAAGCAAACTAGCCATAAACCAGGACCAAATTTAAGCAACTGTTTCTAGAGAACTAGAAATTTATAATGACGTTGAGCGAGTCATTTAGTTGTTTTGGACTAAAGCTCCTTTGTAAACCTTAGCCTCTCTTTTGTCATGAGTTAGTGGAAAAGGGATATTTGGGTATAAAATATAAAAGGAAGTCATGCTGATTTGTTCCTTCATTGAAAAATTATTTAAATAAGCTAGCTACCTTACTCATTGTAATGTTATATGAACATTTTGGTGGTCTTTTTTTTCCCCCCAGTTCTATGAATGAAGTTGTACATACATCCCCTACAATAGGAAGTAATGTAGAAGAGATAGTGGTTAATAATACACGTTTCCTAATGTGGGATATTGGTGGCCAAGAATCTCTTCGTTCTTCCTGGAACACTTACTATACAAACACGGAGGTAAGGTTTCATAATATACTGAAACGTCCATGAGTGGAATGCTTGAGGAACTCCTTCGAGATTCTTACCCTAGTAGAAGGTTAATTAAAGTAGAGTTTAAGCATAGTAGAATCTTTGGTTCCCTGTTTCAGAGTCATTGTTTTGTATTTTCACTTTAATTAAACATCTGTAATGAGATTAGTAATACATTAGTCTGTGTGTTGATTCTAGAGTTTGTTTTAAAGAGTTGTTTTATAATGAATTCCATTTCACAATTTATAATTTCATTTATTTTTTTATATTTATGTTTGGCTAAGTGGGGAAAGGAAGCTCTGGTAGCATAATGCCTAAGGCACTTGATTGCTAACCAGAAGGCTGGTGGTTCAAACCCACCAGCCACTCCTCAGAAGGAAGGTTGGGCAATCTACTTCCGTAGTGATACTGCCTCATAATCCCAAGGAGGGGTCACTATGAGTTGGCTCCAACTCAACGTCAGTGAGTTAGTTTAAGTGGGGAAAATCCTAGTTAAATGAGAGAGCTCTGGTGTTTGGAATCCTGGCCCAAAGTTTTCTTGACAAATACACATTATATAATTCTTTTTCTTTTTATAATAAAGCAAGTTAGACATAATCATCATGTTTTTATTTACATGTTACTTTCCAAAGGAACATATCAGGTCTATGACATTTGAGAGCTTCATTGTGTAGAACTTGTGAATTGAAAGTCTATGGCAATTGTTTCTGTAATGTTGATTATAAATAAAATATATATCCATAAAGTGTATAAAGATTGCTATTAAGTGTGTCTCTAATGACCTGATCTGCCAACACTGCATTAAGCATTTGATCATTAAGCTTTTAAGAAGGAAAGGTGTATGTGGTTATTACTCCTGTATATAATGCTGCAGGTGTCAGATTCATGCCAATACCTGGAAAACTAACATCTTTGTGAAAATGTCTTAGAATAGGGTAGGTTTTACTGTAACAAAGCCATTTATCCTTAAGGTATCAAGTAAGAGGTACCAGAGTGTTTTTCTTATCCATCTTATTATTGATGAGATCTGAAGAATAAAAAAGACCCTGAATTCAAATCACAGAAGTTTATTAAATTAAAAAACTAGGTTTGAAAAATAAATACTGGATGTTAATAATAAGCAGTCAGGATAAATTGGGCATTTCAAATGTTAGCATAAAATGAGTAAGCTAACTCTACAGCTACTCCTGTTGTCCTTGGGCTTTTTGGTGCTCGTGGAGTAAAGGAAGAGGTACCGTGTGGGCTCAACCTTGCACAACTCCTTTGTATATCTTTTATCTCATCTTCTGGTACCAGCTTCATTGTCAGTTCAGGAAACAGTGTGCTTGCAGGTAGCCATTGCCATTTATATAAAGAAAACAGCATCCTTTTAGATACAGATTTGCTCCTTTGATTTGCTAATTTAAAAAAATTAATTTATTTTACTATCACATTAATTACTCCCATACTCATGCCTTTTAGGTTTTCAACTTAATAAATAACTACCTAGAAGTTACTTGAAAATAGGACTAGATTATGTTTTTTTATGCATTTATAATACAAATGGATATGGACTTAGTGTTCAGAATATTAATTTAAAACCAAAGTCTATTGTATATTGGTTAAAATATTAGCATCATTTTTTCTCAAAAATGAATAAATACTTGAGCTGGAAATGGATCAGGTTTGTAGGTCTGTCAATGTCAGTGTCTTATTTTCTAAGAATACCGTAAGAATCTAATTTTGTGATGTTTGTAGACTGCAAATCAAATAAAGCACTTTATAAATTTCATAGATATCAAATTATATTATCACTAATAATTTTGTTTTGTAATTATTTTAGTTTGTAATAGTGGTTGTGGACAGTACAGACAGAGAAAGGATTTCTGTAACTAGAGAAGAACTCTATAAAATGTTAGCACATGAGGTAAGTAGTATTTTTGTATCAGAGGTTTAGGGATGCTTATATCACATTTGTTCTGTCTACTTCCCATAATTTTTAAAAGTATGTATTTGCTGGCCATGCCTTTATTATTTTGACACTTGCCAAATTGGAAGTGTATTTAGAAGCAGCAGAAAAAGTGTGGGATCAATTGTAGAGCTTTATTTCAGTTTTCTTATATAAATTTGGTCTAGAAGTTTTTCTAGGCAAAAGAATTCCAAAATGTGGCTCTCATGTTGCACTTTGAATAGAATAGTTGTATAGAGGATTACCACTGGACATGAGATTTTCACATATCAAGGTATTACTCAGTTATTATACTAATATTTAATGCTTTTGCTCTTAGGTTTCTCTAATATTATCCTTTGACTAAGTAAAACTATGTGATTAGCCACGTCTTCTTTGTTTGAAAAATATTAGTAATGGTAATATTAAAAATATTAGTAATATTAGTATTAAAAATTAGATAAATTGAATAACGTAGTCAACTTAGTAATAAAAATAGATCTGTTAAGTCATGTAATTATACTGAGAATTGATTATTTTATGCTTTTTCTTACACATGCTACTTTCTGAACTAATATTTATGGTTAGGATAAAGAATTAATATTTAGATGTATAGAGTATAAATTTTTCTTTCAGTGGAATTTTATTAAAGCTTAAGAAAATTAGAATATCTTTGTAATGAAATTTTTATTAATTTTAATATTGATGGTATGCTTTTGAAATTTAGAAATTTGGCATGTTTCATGTAACATTTTAAGATTTCAGAAAACCTAGTAAAGTGGTTTTGTAAATTGAGCTTCCACGTTTTCCTTGCAGTGCTCATTCCTGCCAAGGTATGCTTTCCTCAGTTATGGACTCTATCCTGACATCTGTGCTAAACCTCTTGGGGTTTTAAAAAGATAACATCTTATATCTTGTAATCTGTAACTAGAAGTAATAGTAGTAATAGGAGCATCAGAACCTGTCTAACTTCAAGTGGCATTGTGCAAATTGAGATAGCCCAGACTGATCCATATGAGATAGAAGTCAGACACATCTCTACTCTCCAACTTTTTTTTTTTTTTAACCAATTCTGACACCAGTCATCCCTCCCCAAGGCACTTTACTTCTCTTCTGAGTTCAGTAATCCATTGCAGTGGCCACACAGAACTCACACACAGATCATCCTTAAGTGGTTTATTAAGGAACAGGGTACAACTCAGGATCAGGATCAATAGGGCTACAAATCAGGATCATGAAGCATGTAGGTAAAGTCTCCCTCCTTAAGTACAGGACAGCTCTTTCAACTCCTCTCAACCAGGTAGGGCTGTACTCAGCCTCCTAAGGACAAAGTCCTCATGGCCACTTGAGGACAGGCTCCTCATGGCCCTGCCATTTGTCACTTCTTTCACTGCTGGGTCTGGCACTGGGCCCCTTCCAGGCCTATTGGTATCTTTAATATTACATCTCTTGACCATGTTATAGCTCTTTTAGGAAGATCCTTTTCTCTCTCTCTCTGTAGTCCGAGGCTAGTCTTGCACAGATACCAGTGATAAAAAATACCAAATCATTACAGAATAAACAGAAGACAGACATAGAGCAATCCCTCATAAATTTTTCCTCTCTCTCTCTCTCTCTCTCTCTGCTTCTCTTTTCTTTCTTCCTTCTGCTGCTGGATTTCTACTTCTCTTCCTGCTTCTTTCTGTTTGATTAACCTCTGTGGAGTTGGGTGCTTACATAAAGTCCTTGTCAATTTCAAGGCATAGCACTCGCACCAAGGCCATGAACTAATCAATCCCCTCTGTAGAGTCCAGACAAAGTCATTGAATTTTACTAGCTAGAGACATTAACTTGGGCACTTAAGCTCCTCAAAATGTTACAGATGAGGAAACCAAGGCCCAGAAAGGTTATGTAGCTTGACCAGCTTTTTAAGAGCCAAGATATGCTGAATGAAATAAGTCCATCACAGAAGGACAAATATTGTATGAGCTCATTACCCTAAAAAGTCAAGAAATGGTTTGCTTGGGGGAGGGAATAATTTTGGATTAGTTGGGAGCCACCTTCTGAGTTGGGTAAGCAGAAGGATGGTATGGAAAGAGTCTGACCAGCACAATAACATTGGGGAAAGGGAGGACACCGAATTGTGCACGTAAGTTATAGACAACAGAAGCTAATACCAGTATATTCGCAATACTGCATTACCATTAACACCAAACATCAGGCAACAGATAAACACATAGACAACTAAGAAGATCAGATGGGGGTCAGTGAACAGGGTTATACTCTAGACCAAAGATAGATTTAGCTGAGGCTAGTCTTGCACAGATACCAGTGATACAAAATACCCAATCATTACAGAATAAACAGAAGACAGACATAGAACAATCCCTCATAAACAGACACTGTGGGAGAGATATCCACCAGATCTGCTGACTCAGGATCATGGTATTGGGGACACCAGACTCAACTGGCACAACCAAATACATAAAAATCTTGTTCCACAACCTACTTTGGTGAATAGTAACTAGAGTCTTAAAAGCTTTTGAGCAGCCATCTAAGCTGCAGCTAATGGTCTCCTATTGTCGGGAGCAAAGAGAAGAAAAAAAAAAAAAAACAAGGGCATTTGGAAACAGCCCTAGGACATGATGGACCAGAAGAACTAGATGATTCCCAGCTACCAATACCAACCACTTGGGAAGGGAACAAAACTGGAGATCCTGGATAGAGTAGGAGGGGAAATGTGGAACAAAATCCCAAAAGAGAATAATGACCAGAATTACTGGTTGGATGCAGTTTGATAGGACCCCCAAGACTATGGCCCTGGGATACACTTTGGGCCTGGATAAAACTTACTCCCAAAGACTAGCTCTTAGGCCAATAGTAAATAAGACTTACATGCAGAACACTAAAGCAGGGCGGAGGAAAAGCAGGACACATGGGTGCATAACTAAGAAGGACATGTAGGGGTGGTTACTGGGGAGAGGAGGAGAGTGGGCTAGGGTTGGGAATGGTAGTTGGGAAGTGAAACCAAATGTACACAAAATGTTGAATGTAAAACAAATTCTACTCTCTAAATTTGTACCTAAAGCACAATTAAAAAAAAAAAAAGCTAAGATTTGAAGTTAGGCACTCTTATTCAGGAATTCATGCTCTTTTCTAGTTATCAATAAAAAAAGAAAAAGATTTAAGTGAAAGGAGACTGGGTAGGGCGACTACCTGAGTGGAAAGGAATCACAGATGAAGTTGGAAGCTAGAATAAGACATGTAGTAAGTTCAAGAAGAGTTAGAAGAGTTCTGGAGAGGAATAAATGGATCAAAGAAACAGAATGTATGATTGAAAAGCAAATTTAGATATGAAGTCACAATGATACCCCCCCTAACCAACCAACTGCAGTGCCATCAAGTTGACTCTGACTCAATATTGACACCGTAAGACAGACTAGAACTGCCTTCATAGGGTTTCTAAGGCTGTAAATCTTTACAAAAGCAGGCTGCCTCATCTTTTTCCCACAGCATGGCTGGTGGATTTGAACTGCTGACCTTTTGGTTAGCAGCCAAATGCTTTAACCACTGCACCACCAGAGCTCCTATAATAATACCATAATAAACAACAAAATCTTACCATTACATCATCATTGGTAGTGGTTCATTCCATGTATTACAAAATATAAAACTAAAAAGTGTTTTCAAATATTGCTTAAAGCTTTGTTACATGAAATACAAAATTTTAAAGACCATGTTTTCTAAAATAATTTAAACGTAAAAATATGAAGTTTTATTTAGAATGACTCAACTTCTAGGAATTATCTTAACAAATGAAGATTTGAGAAACAAATTGCCAACTATATCTATTATACAGAAGATGCCAAGTAAATGTGCCTTGTATTTACTATTGTTCATCTCCTTGACTAAACTAAAACATATTTTAGACTCTTAAGAACATCATTCTGTACTAAGTAATATAAAGTTTTTCAAAGTGTTTTTGTACATTGTTCTTCTGTTTTGAACTCTTATTAAGCCATTGATGAAGAGCCTTAATAATATATGTGTTTTCATTATTTATATATATATATAAAT